TGCAGTAGTGAGGGCACTACCTCACAAATTCAACAGGTACGTCATACCCAGTATATCTGTTAGTGATGTTTCGTAACAGTCCGAAACTCTAAAACGGGTTATACTTAAACGCAAAGATTATGCTGAACATCAAGGGTTAGATTAACTCTTCAACGACATCGATCCACAACATGACTCAGCAACAAACATATTGTTACGAATGATAGAGGTCACTGGTCAACTAGGGCTTGCTTAGGCAGCTTTCTCTGTTTAAGCTTCCTGAACACGCGAAGGCGACACTTGTTTCATTTTATCACTACAATGCGGACGAGCTGGATGCATCTGCTGACCGGATCCTAAAGGTCACTAGAACGTCTAACGCCGTGGACTGTTTAATCAAAGGAAGGCCTACAACGACGTGAAATGAAATTGCAAAACTCCATAATATTCTGACATGTTACCTTCGTATTCGTCATGACTGCAGGCGATCACAAAACCCTGAGGGAGTTCTTTACGAAAACAATCTGTCTCTAGAGCATGAGAGACAGATAAGCCTGATTAGTGTTGATATCACAATAAGTATGGGAAACATTCATGAAATGACAGAAAACCCTGCAATTTTCCGTAATCCAAACCGACCGACACGAAAAACGTTTCGGGAAACTTCCCAGCCGGCACGCGTTAACGGCAACCATAGCCGGCGAACACAACCGTCTGTTATACGTCATTGATGTGATTACAAAAGTTAGCTACTTAATCTACACTGGCGCAAAAGTTAGCGTTCTTCCAGTGAATTCTAACGACCGACTGCACGAACCGGTTTTAGACTTACAGGAGGCAGACTGAAAACTGATCGGCACATATGGTAGATAATATGTGTATCTTAACGTGGATTTATGCAAACCCACTCACTGGATCTTTGTTGTTGTAGATGTTTTTATGTCGATCATTGGTGTAGACCTGCCGAAACATCACAATCTACTCATCGACACACTAAAAACGAGGTTAGTATATGGAAATACTGCTTCATCTGTTTCTGTAACTTCTCTGTCCGCCTGTAGATTACCACCCAGTCACAGTAATGCACACTATCAATCCACACTCACAACAAATACTCAATAATTACCCCAAGATATACCACATGAAACCGAATTTACCGTGTATAGCCAACAGTGTTGCACACCACATTATGGCTACGGGACCATTCATATTCACGAAAACACACCGACTAGTCCCGAAAAGCTAAGGTTGGCTAAAGACGAATTTGAACATATGATAAATTTGGGAATCACTCGACCATCAAGTAATCCTTTGGCATCTCCCTTCCACATTAATATTTAGAAGGACAGCGACGATTGGCGTCCAACTAGTGACTATAGACGACTAAATGCGAAAACCATTTCTCATCGTTACCCGCCGCTGCACATTCGCTATTTAATAGCTTCCTTCAAAGGTACAACTGTTTTTTTTTAAAAATCAAGTTGGTTAAAGCATACAAATAAATTCTCATGACTGCGGATGACATTATTAAAACCGCTACCATCACAACATTTGGTCTCTACGAATTTTAGCACATGTCTTTTTGGTTTAAGAAATACCGCACAAACACTCCAGGGTTTCGTCGATGACGTTTTCCGAGGTCTCAACTTGATACATGCGTCCAACATCTAGACCTTATTTTGAAACAACTGCAATAAAACAGCATTACTGAAAGCATTCAGGAATTTCACACTGGAACTGACTCTGTAGTTTTTATCGGACATATCACTGATACTCAAGTCGTCCACTCTCTGAGAAGTAAAATGGTGGTCATGCTGAATTGTCTAGAACTGTCAACAAGCAAGCAACTGCACATGTATAGCGGCCTAATAAGTTTCTATGAAGGGTTCATATATAATTACGCGTCTCTTATGAGATCTTTAACCTGCCAACTTCATGGAGATGCGAAACTCATTAATTTGGACGACAATGTGAAGAAAGCATTCTCGCACACCGGGGCTTCAAAGCACCCATCAATATCGCAGCAGATGCACCCGACTCAGCAATCGGAAGAGTCTTAAACAATAAACAAACTATACTAGCCAACGTTGTGTATTCTTTTTATAAGACTGCAAGACACCGGATTAGAGCATACCACTTACAGCAGGGAATTTCTAGCCATGTATTGTGTTGTTCCGTAGAAGGTCAAGAGGTCACCCTGTTTATCGACCACAAACCTCTCACCTTCTCCCTTGTCTTTTTTCAGACAAGTACTCTCCTCGAGAGTTCTGATTAGTGAACTACATTTGTCTTAGATGGTGGTCGGAGGTAGTCGACAGGGTTTCTTATTGACTACCTCCAACCACCATCTAATCTCACAATAATGCACGCAGTTTCGATTCACCTAGGCTGGTGGCCACACTGCAACATGGTCGATAGCATTCGATCTGTACTAACAATAAGGACTAGACACTCATGAAATTGATCACCACCCAGTGATCAATCAATTGTGACTACATTTGTCTGTTTACTTCAAGTAGAAAAAAATGTAGTTGTAACGACCGAATTTCCAATATTCGGTTTGAACGCAGAACTAACAAACCCAAATTTATTCGATTAGATCAAGCTACGTTCTTCTGTATAGCGTGTAGTGGCATTGGACAATAACCGCACAATCCACAAAGCTGAACACGAGACTACTCAGAAAATAGATATTCAATATTTAACGCAGAGAAATACCTAACAATGGAGAAGGCGCGAACAAGGAATTGAATTGACTGGAGTTGATCGAGTGGCATGGCTCGGCCATGCAGGCGTGGTCTCTGCCGAATGTTTCCTTATATCTTCTATTCATATTAAATATATTGTTCTTTCTCTAGCCTAACCTTGTTCTACATCATGTATTGGTAATTGATACGACACAGTGAGTTGGTGTAGTCGATGGTGTGACTTCCACGTAAGATCTTATAGATTAGGCAGTTATGTCATGACAAACCTACAAAGTTAGGATTAGGTCTATTATTAGAGCAGTACTAATATCATAGTAGACCATAGTTCTACAAGCGTACAAATCGCATTTAGTTATACGCACTAAAATATATCAAAAAAATTCTGTGTTCAATCTAAACGGTTCTAATTTAGGAAAGACAACAAATTATATTAAAAAATACAAAATACCTCAAATGGTATAGCCTGTGCTATTTTGCAGTCAAAGATTTCTCTAACACAAATTAGCGTGGTAAACGGCAAAATAAACAGTTAATGCAAAAGAGCTTGTAGTGACTCACATTCATCACGAGAACACGACTGGTTTAATAAAAACAATTATTATTATAACCAACTGTACCAGTGCTTGTTTTAATGTGCTTTTGTTTGACTGTGCTGATGACAGCTATATTTTGCTTCCATTCTTATATTCACACTTTGATTGAAACTTCGCGCAAATTCGGTTACGTTCTGTAACCAAGCTTGTATCCTGGCACGATCTCGGTATCCTTTCGATACCACGAGATCGCCAGCGAATATATCTCGATTTGGTCCATTACCTCTCTTCTAATATTTGGCTTCTCGTAGATTTTATGGGTTTCTTTGGTTACGTTCAACCTACGCCTTCTGATTTATTTGGCACGTGTTTCTTTGTAGCGGTGTTCATAGTTAATCTCAACTCGACGCCACGCTACAAGCTCAATACCTGAGAATCAATAAAAATATTCCCAACAAGATGGGACCAGATACCTATCTTCAGGGATTTCAGCAATCTTTCCAGACATACAGTCAAAGGCTAACAGACTCACACTGAACCACTTGAGCTTTGTCAAACACGACCTCATTGTTAATAGTCCGACAACATGTAGCATAACAATTAGGTAACAAAAGGTAAGTCTTTAGTTAAAGTCACATAATAAAAGCTCGGATGAGGAAGACTGAAGAACACCAAGTGTGGTTAAACGAAGGTTCTAGCATCAACATGCCTAGAGGCTCTGCGTACTGATCATAACGTTTTAAAACCTTTGGCGGTTGTCACACGGTAGTGTGTAACAGATTTCAAGTCAGTGCTAGCAATGACTTCTAAGTCATTATGCGTCTGGATAGCAAGTGGATTAATGTTATCTTCCGTGTGTGTATCCTTGATTTGATGGCCAATATGCATTGTAATGCACTTGAAAGCATTTATCGGCAACTGTCAAATGTCAAACCAGTCAACCTACCACCTTTACTATATATCGCTCGTTATATATTGACATCGTCAGAATATCGTGTCTGTAAGTTATGGAATATCCTCTCTAGTAGTATCCCAAGTCGAAAAAGATTTAGGAGTCCTGGTGCCCCATGACTTAAAGTCTTACGCTAACTGTGACAAAAATGCCTTCCGAGCAAACCTTGCACTGGTAACGTTGAGGCTCATTTTTGGACAGTTTGACGGAAGAACTTTCCACACAATCTTCAATAGTTTCATCCGTCCCCATTTAGAGTACGGAAACATAGTACTCCCCCCTCACTCCAAAAGGACAAGGTCACTTTGGAGCGTATCCAACGACGAGCCACGAAATCAGTTCGAGGACTCAAATCTAAGCCTTACGAAGAACGCCTCCGTTCACTAGACCTTTACCCACTAGAATATAGGCGTCTTAGAGGTGATTTATTAATGGCTTATAGTATTCTTAACACTTCTGGACATCCTCTTAAACACCTACTTAAGCTTAGTTCGAATAATAACCTAAGGGGTAACACCCAGAAACTGGAAACACAACATAGCAAGACGGAATGTAGACACAACTTCTACTCCTTAAGAGTTGTCAAAAGCTGGAACTCGCTGCCGGCCGAGCTAGTCCAAGCGACTTCTCAGGAGTCCTTCAAGAGGCAACTTGACCTATTCTTAAGGACCAAGGACAGCATCACACTATGATTTACCAATTTCTTTTCCTCTTTTATTGTTAACATACCTAGGTTCCTGCCTGGAGGATTTGGTGATCCCCTGTTACTAGACACGGAAGCCTGTTAAGCGAAAGCTTCTTCTATTCCGTCCACAACCATTTGAACCATTTAGGATGAGCACTTATTTGAAATTGTGCGTTACCGCTCCGTTGTTACCCTAATCTCGAACATTTGTTGCTACAAATTGTTATGAACTGCTTACACTAGTTAATGTAAGTACACTCTGTGCCTTCTGAGTCTCCAGTTCAGATTTTCACTTGCTTTCCTTTCAAGCTTTCCTTACACACTTCTACAAACGCTGTCTCAGTACCCAAACTTCCTTCAGATCAGGTAAAAAAAAATCTACAGCCTTTCGAAACATATGAGCAGGAATACGTTAGTCATCCCCTTTCTCCATATCTATTATTTAGCAATAGGCTTAGTTGTCTGTCTTGTTATAAACGCCGCCGTAAATGTACAAAAAGTAGTGGCTCAGACTATGCTAACTGTGTAAACAAGCAAACCCTAAACGATACTAGACAGACTGACCAAGATGGAAGTGCTAAGGAGACTTTATCTCTATCAACTATTAGTCACACTCCGGGTGCTGGGGACGGGGGTTCAGCTAGTTTAGGCGACTGGTCTACGGTTCACCAACTTGATGGAATTGATGCTTCAAAAGTGAATTTATTATGTGAGGGCAGCAGCAACAACACGTCATCCGTATTAGGCGTTCTCAACAGAGTAGAGTTCTGTGATCGTTTAGAAAGCATAGTTCTTCGGCTTGAAAGGATAGCACAAACAATAACACCAGGTAAGTCCTAAGTCGATTTGTTCATTACACAGAAAAAACTCCTGGACTGGTTGCTTTTGAACTGATTATTGCTAATAGCCTTAAAAATTATGTCGCATGTAGTAAAAAGTTGGGAGGAAACATACAATCTCAGGTAACTACAATCCATTGTCTATTTGTAGTCATTATGTGTCCAAAACGCTTTCGGCTTCGTCAGGGATCTCATTGAACTATCCAACATTTATAGCAAACCAACTGAAGTGGATATGGATGTTCACTTAAAGCCTCTTCATTTTAAGATGATTGAAATAGCAGTACGTTAATTCTCCGTAATAACTTAAATGAAGTCAAGAACTTCAGGGTTGGAGCTATGTCCGTACGGAAGTGTCAGCTATCAACCATTGCAGATTCTGTCCTTATACTGAATTGGGTTGGGTCTGTAAGTCTACAGATTCGTAATATAACAAATCTTAGTCTTCAGCATCGCAGTACGTTAAAGAATTGAAGGACTCAACATGGTTGAACGCTAACAAAGTCTTTCAGTATTGCCGTGAGAGGTAAGTTATCTTCTGGCATAAAAGCACGAATACTATTATTAACCAGATGCGGCAATGTTCGCTCTGTGGATTCCTTACTGTTTGCTCCTAAATGTCTAAGGATTACTTGATGTAACTAAGTGATTGACTCGAAATGGGTTATTGGGTATCACGCCTGTAAAGCCTTGGACTAGAGAATACATGCTTACTCTGTTATCGAAGCACACTTTCGCATCTGAACTTAGTAAGGTAGGTCAAACGTTTGGACTCATTTTGATTTTGTTCGTATCAAGGTTCACATTTACTGTCCTTGTCTTCATAGTAAGTACTTCAATAGTGTGTATGCCTACGTACTTAGAATTCATCAAGTGTGTTAATAGTAAAGACTTCACTAGGGGAAAGTTTGTTTCATGTAGGTTTGCTTTTGAAACCTGTTACAGTCTTATGCATATGTCATTAGTTAGTATTCATATATAGTGAAAATGAATATTTATTTCATGAATTAAAATCGAAAAGCAGTTGTACAATAAATAACGGTCAGTAACTATTCCATTGTCTCTGTAAGTCGATTATTTTGCGTCATTAATTCTCGAAATGAATAAATTGACATCATTTTACTTCGATGATCCTTTTTTAAAAAAAAATTATGTATCACAGTATTGATGCATTGACTAATATTTACCGGTTTAGTGGAACTGATGTAAGTTAGTTCACTCAGGTACTCAGAGTTGTTGAAATGGAAAGCCACCAACTTATATTTATACCATAGTCTGCCCCCAAATGCCCTGGTATGGCCGAGAGTGGGGTGGGTCCGCCCTCCCTCTCAAAATGCTCTCACATGGCCACGTGTATTCAGCCTCTGCCAGAGAAGTCCTACTCACTGCCTTCTCGTGGCACTACTGTTGTTTACGAAAATGAGAGGACGAAAAGCGAAGCGAATGTCCGGCGCTTTAACCGAATCCCGAACCAATAGTGCACATGAGCTCCAGTATCCTGCGAGAACACATGGCGTATGAACCAACTTTCGGTCATCGGCCGCCATGGGACTGCATCTCTTTACGATGCTCCACTGCCTTGTGGGTTAGACCTTTAGGCCAAAGGCTCGGGGTGTGGCCCCCTAAGATAACCACCTGCTTCGGTCTGGGCACCCGGGCAGTATCACAGCCCTCACGCAAATTATGAACTCTATATTTATGGAAACTACTTTTCTCACTCCGAATAACAATCAAATGATTCAAATTATTATCATTACTATTATTGTCATTATTATTATTATTATTATTACTATTATTACTATTATTACTATTTACTACGAAATTATTCACCTTCTTTTATTCCTACTCTGTCTAAACTTATCTTTTCGACTTATACAGCAGCTCGTCTTTGGTGGAAATCCGACTCTATCTAAACGTTCTCGAGTCACTGTCTGGTTAGGCTGTCCACTTTCTCCATTTTTGTTTAACTTCATCATAGACCTATTGATAGAAATAACATTCTCGTCGACTGAATTCTCGGGTATTGATCTCCTTCCAGGATGTCCACTTATCGACTTAGAATATACAGATGACATAGTCCTGTTTGGTGAAGACGCTGACAAAATGCAGTCTTCTGGTAGCACTAAGCAACAATGCCAGAATGTTTGGAATGCGCTTCTCTCCCTCTAAATGCAAGCTGCTGCTTCAGGACTGGTCTGGGTCAACACCTGAACTAAGGATAGGGAGTGAAGTAGTCGAACGCGTCGACAACTTCACTTATCTTGGAAGTCTGATCAGCCCTAATGGGTTGGTGTCTGACGAAATCTCAGCACGGATTCGAAAAGCTCGTTTCCTTTTTCCCAACTTACGGTGAAGTCGAGATATCCGTCTATCAATTAAGGGACGAGTATACTGCGCATTAGTTCGTTCTGTTTTACTTTACGGCAGCGAAACGTGACGATTAAGAGTAGAAGATATTCGTAATCTACTAGTATTTGACCACAGATGCCTTAGAAATATTGTTCGCATCTGCCGGGATCACCGGGTAAGTAATAGTGAGGTTAGACGCAGGGTTTTAGGGAATGAAGATGGTAAATCAGTTGATGAGGTTATGAATCTTCATCGACTGAGATGGTTGGGCCACGTATTACGTATGCCTGAACACCGATTACCACGACGTGCAATGCTAACCGGTGTAGGGGATGGTTGGAAGAAAGTTAGGGGCGGCCAAACCAAAACGTGGCATCAGTGCCTGAAGTCACTACTTTCTAGTCTGAGCCATGTTGGTAGATGCAGACTACTTGATTAGGGTCCGCGTGACTATCGTAACCAATTGTTGGAGACCCTGGGTGACATGGCTCAGAATCGATCACAATGGCGTCGGTGTATACACTCTCTGTCTTCTCTTAAACTAAGAGATTAAAATCGCTTCATATCTTTCTTTCTACGAACTAATTCTTTCTTCCTGTACTATATCCTTATTGCAATCTTTCTTTTATATATTGCCACCTCTGAATTAACTACTTATATGAATCCGGTGTCCATCTTGTTGTGTTAATGAGGTATGGCAACTTGGACCGATGCATATATGTGCCTGGTCCTACGTTGTAGCTGACTGACTGACTGACACTGTCCGGTTGAAAGTTGTATGTTACCACCGAATATGAGTACTGAAGCAGTTTTTCTGAAACCAACATCGGTCAGACTGTCCTGCCCTCCATGGACGGTGACGACTGATCCACCAATTGAGGCGGAAGTCCGCAAGGAACTCCAACTCTTGAAGCGCTACAAATCACCTGCCCCAAAAGACTTACCTCCAACCCTTTTTAAAGATGGTGGTGACTTTCTGACTAAGGAATTGACGACGTTGTTTACAAAGGTTTGGGAACTAGAGAGTGTACGAACGTCATGGAATGAGTCAATAGTCGTCCCTATCTTTAAAAAGGGTTCACTTCGTTCCTGTAACAACTATCGGGGGATAAGTCTACCTCCGATTGCGTCCAAGCTATTGGCTTCCGTCATACGTCGTAGGTTGTTCAAAACCCGAGAAAGATTGACTCGCGAGGAGCAGGCTGGGTTTCGTTCTGGTTGAGGATGTATTGATCATATCTTCATCCTCCGCCAAATGTTAGAACACCGCCATACTTATCAAAGGCAAACAATCGTAGTGTTTCTTGACATCAGGGCTGCCTTCGATCCGTTGGACAGGACTGTTCTCTGGGATTGTCTATTGAAGAAGGGTGTGCCTGAGAAGTTTATTAACATCCTAAAAGCCCTATATACAAACACCTCAGACAGAGTGAGGGCATACAACCACCTTTCTCCATTGTTCCATTCGAGCAGTGGGGTTAGGCAGGGTTGCCCAATCTCGCCATTCCTCTTCAACTTTGCCATCGACGACATTCTGGAAACAGCTTTGATGGATGTAAGTAATGGCGGTGTCGATCTACTGCCTGGAGAAAGATTTCTAGACCTTGAGTATGCGGACGATATTGTCTTACTGTGCGATAATGCCCAAGCCATGCAATCCGCACTTAATCAGTTGGCAATCAGTGTCCGTAGGTATGGTATGTGCTTTGCACCTTCGAAGTGCAAAGTACTTCCACAAGACTGTCAGGATCCTAATCCTGTACTCACTCTGGATGGTGAGCAGATAGAAATAGTCGAGTTCGTGTATCTGTGTAGCTTCATACGTGCTGGTGATGGAATGAGTGATGAGGTCAATCCAGGTATAATGAAAGCCAGAGCGGCTTATGCTAGTCTGGGCCATCTTTGGCGCCTTCGTGATGTCAGACTGGCAGTAAAAGGTCGGATCTACAACGCGTTGGTGTGAGCAGCTCTGCTCTATGCTTGTGAAACCTGGCCTCTCCGAGTTGTGGACGTTAGACGACTCTGTGTTCGATCGTCGTTGTCTCCGAAGGATTGCTGACATCCAGTGGCAACACCATGTTAGTAATGCAGAGGTTCGGCATCGTGTGTTCGGGCACAGAGATGATAATGCAATTGGTGTCACCATCTTGAAACACTGACTTTGGTGGCTTGGACATGATCTACGAACATCGTCCCAGAGAATTCCACGTCGTGCATTATTTGCCAACTCTGGGACTGGTTGGAAAAAGCGGAGAGGTGATCAGTGTATGATATGGTATTGTGATTTGAAAGAAAGCAGTACAGGACTGGCTTTTGTTGGTCCTTCACGACTCCCTAGCTGGGGTCCTAGAGATAGTGCGATACAGTGGCTGGAGACGTCAGATATGGCTCAGAATAAAAGCCAGTAGCGATCCTGCTGTAACCTTCTTTTACTTTCTTCATAAAAAGTGGTTGTATCTTCCTTAACTGAAAGATTTCTTCTGGTTGTACCTTTCCGTTCCCTCATTATTACTACACTACCTTACACCAATCTCTTCGTTATTGTTCTCTTTTTTTTACACTCCTTACCTTTTCCTTCTCTCCAAATTCTCATTGTTTTGTGTGGCGCATTTATATTGGCGCTCTCTTGTACCAATATTTATGTGTTCAAATAAATGCCATAATCTGTTCGGCTTTATTTAGGAATGTTTGTCTACTATTGCTTTTCCTTCCAGTCAGTCAAGTCTATCGGAAAGATGTGTTGTGTACGATACCAAGTCTAGGATATTTTCCTTTTATCACTTTTTGCAAATGAGAAAGTAATTTTTTCTCACTTTACCTGTCCTTTTTGTTGTGATTTTTGTATATAGCCTTCCTGAACATGTTGAGTGGTTACGCTCATGGCTTTCTTGTCTGGATGAATTGTGCGTAGTTGTTGGAGAGCATTTTCCATACGGTCTAAAATGGAATAAAAATGGTCCCAAACTACCCTTACCAACTGTTGAAATACGCCCAATTCAGTCTTTGCAAGAGGGTCGTACCAATACACATGAAAGAACTTCAAAAAAGGTAACAAAGTGTTTTTATGTTGCACAGACTATCAGTTTTGCTACTTGACATCTCCAATTTTTATTACTGTGTAGATATTTCAACGATCAACTGCGTTATTATCCTGGCAAAAAAATTATAATAAGAATTACAACACTAATCAATCTTACTTGGGGCAAAAATACATACATTGCCGTATAACGTATCTATTTGTTGAACTGTTTAAACTAAAGCCTTTTAGATTTGTTTATTAAATGATAAGATCTGTGTAGTTGATTTAGCTTCATGATTCAGATGAATACTTCAAAAAGTAACTGCCATGAATAGCTTCGTCTAACCTCATAGAAAAAAGTATTGACTAGTAGGCTTGTTTAAGACTAACTAAAAGGAGTAAAACAGCCTGTTAATGCATCAACTCCAGCCGTTTCCTCGAATTTGCATATTTTCTTATCCTTAAATATTAAGGTTAGTTTTCGCTTCAAATTTATATATGATGAGTAGTTTTGTTCAGATTGACATGTTTTAATAATCTGTACTAAATCGGACAGAGTGCTTATGTTCATATGAAAATTAGATTTTGCATTTAGGTGCGAAATGATGTAAAAGACACTTGAGTGATATTTGACAGCACATAAAATGATATCTTTTCATATAAATTCTAATATTTAGAAATGTATTATTCATTATATAGTGTTTGTAATCTTACGTTCCAGATATTAAAATAGATCTTTGAAAAGGATATAAGTGGTCAATTGTTTTGTGTGACGAAAGGATTAATATTACCGAGATTTCTAGTCTAACAATTTTGTGAGAATTCATTAAGGCCCAGCAAATTTATTATACCTCGAAGTTAGATGTCATGATCTGTTCAAAACATTGGTCGACGGGTTTTCAAAAAAGTTTTGCTACCAACATTCCGAGTTAAGTACTTAAAATGGTATGGACATTTTAATTGTAAGATGGTAATGCATCACAAAGAACTAATTAGAAAGGTAAAACGAAACATTAAAAGGGTGGTTTTTGAATCGTAGGAACTTCATTTCAAACGAAAACTTGATGTGTTTATACCAGTGTAATATATAAAAATGAAATGACAATTACTGAAATTAATATAAATAAATAATATATTTGTAATATCCCAATGAGTAGAAAAATTAGATCTGACGTTTCGTGACTTCGTGTAAGCCACTTCTTCAGAGAACAAATAAATGACCAAATAAAAATTAATCCAAGTTTACATAGTATTAAATAGATATCCCGATATATATACTTTTTGAAGGCTCCTCAACCACAATAAGTCCTACAAATAGGGGGCCAAAGAGATTGTGAATCCGCTCGTAATCGGTAACAAATCAAAATTAATCCATGTTTAAATAGTACAACGGAACAACAAGAATATTATTTATTTAAAACAATCTACCCAATGTTCAATTTATTCGAAATTATCAAGTCAAACATTGGTAATAATACCTACAAACTATATCATAGTTTGCTGCAGAAGTGTATGGAGATCAATTTAGTTTATAGATAGCCTTTGTCACAGACTAGTAAACTTCAACCATGCCAGAAATGAGATAGTTGCCTGCCAATGCCATGGGACGATTGTCTCATCATATAGCCAATTCATTAAAATCAACGTATTTTGACTTAGCATTGGTCTAATTATAACGTGCTCATCGTGAGGTATGAAGATCTTAGTTTGAAGACTTGACTAGATCATAGATACACAATGTCCCATGATTTTGAGTGGTCATTTAATTGGTGAAAGTTAGTGCTGAAAACCATCTACAATTACCTGGACAACAATTTATCAAGAAATATGAAGTTCAAGTCAATTATATAAAGTAAACTTGAAGTCAGATGCTGTCAATAGAGATGAAAGTGCAAACACCAAGCAAAATATATGTTCAATCAAAGAGAACAACACACGAATCGATACTCTTCTCGCCATCATTCACACTTTAAGTATGTAAGAAATGTGATTACTATAAAGTATATATATAGGGATATCCACTTAATATTTGATAACTTTCCACCAAATTCTAATCGAAGTTAACATAAACAATCATGTAATTTTTTTACCGAATAAAATTTCCTAAAGATTATATCTTCCCAGTCAGCATTCATTTCGCGAATCGTTTGTAGACCGAAAGTGTTATCAGTATAGTGTTCTGATCTTGTTCAGTTAAATAACCATGACGGAAGTTTCATGACTCACCAGTCAGTCAACTGTTTATCTTGTCAAATACTTCACTATTCATAATTTTTAGTGAATGGTTACTATTCTCAATCTTTACGAAATTGAGAATAAAGTAAACATGTTACCGATTACGAGCGGATTCACAATCTCTTTGGCCCCCTATTTGAAGAATTTATTGTGGTTGAGGAGCCTTCAAAAAGTATATATATCGGGATATCTATTTAATACTATGTAAACTTGGATTAATTTTTATTTGGTCATTTATTTGTTCTCTGAAGAAGTGGCTTACACGAAGTCACGAAACGTCAGAAGATCTAATTTTTCTATTCTTCGGGATATGACAAATCTATTATTTATAACAATCTACCCAATGCTCAATTGATTCGAAATTATCAAATCAGACTTTGATAATGATGCCTACAAACTGAAATTACTGTTCTTGCTCCAAATAGAATTCAGACAACTCATTTCCATTTGATAAAATTCATCTTGATTTTTATTTTTTTCGTATGTTACGTCATTTCACTCTCCTTTACTCCCACTTTATGTATCCCTATTTTCCGACTAAGGCAGCAGTTCGCCTATAGCGGAAACCCTGTTCTCTCTATACGATCTCGAGTCACTAACTGGTCAAAAGTTTGACGCTACCACCGAAAACGAATACTGAAACAGCCTTTCTGAAGCCACGTATACCATTCAAAATGACTTCCTTTCACGTTCGCACACTAATGCAGATCGGACAATAGATAGGGTTGGCTGTGTGTTTAGAAAGTCTTAATATCAATGTCTGTTGTCTATCCAAGACCTGTATTCAAGACCAGTGATGTACTACAAATTTGCTTTCCATCTGTCGCTTCGTAAAGCTTGTTTTACGTGAGTTTATCCGGGGCCCCTGTGGCATCTTCGTCTGGTTTTTCTGACATTATCGCACAAAGCGCTAGAGCTGAGGCAGCACTGATCAACTGGGTCACCATTAACAGTCGGTTGTACGCTGTTAGATTAGAAAGTCCCATTCAAGTGAGAGGAAATCGGTGTGAAAAGCGATGTCTTTTCGTTCTCTCCGCATATGCTCCGACAGATTTTTTGCTCGGATTCGATTAAGGATAAATTTTACCACCATTTAACTATTCTACAGAAAATGCATTCGGCAGGTATTGTAGTTCTAGCTGGAGAGTTGAATGCTCAGGTCGGACGTCTAGGCACAGACAAGAGTCATTTAGGTAGCCGATAGGAACTTGGTCGCAGGTCAGATAACGGGGACCGTCTACTGCAGCTGTGCGCAGACCACAATCTGTTTCTCGCTAGCACTAACCACCGGTAAAATCATCGCCAATGTGCAACCTGACGCCCTCCCTCTGCATCCCAAGCCTGGACTCAGATTACTTACATCACGATCAGCTACCACTGGCGTGGTTGTGTATAAGACTGCCACTCCTTTTGGAGTACCTATCTAGACTCTGATCATGCTCTTGTTTGCTCTAATATGACCTTACTTTTCGATGGCCAACAGATTCATCGACCTAAACGGATCGATGTCAGTAACTTGATTGCAGCTTCTGTTGCAACTAAATACCAAATCGACCTAGGTTCAAGGCTAGCTAACATCCTATCGAAAAGTATAGATGAGCATTGATTACAATTGCATGACGCCATCAAAATGGCGAGTAAAGTCGCTTACGGCTTCGCGGAACGTCCCGCTTATGAGCACCAGGTTTCTTCAAGGTTCCTTACAACTCATTGAAGCCCGTCGGTGTACTCCGGGTGACCGTGAGTTTGATCACAAACGAAAAGTGTTACGCAATGGAATCGGGCAAAGCTTGCATAAGGACCAAGAAGCCTGGTGGTCGGAGCGTGCCAATGAGTTTGAAGCAGCAGTTGCATCTGGTAACTGTCAGAAGCTCTTTCAACTCATCCGATCCATCGGCAGCAAAACGTCTGGTGTGGGCGAGATAGTCTGTGAAGCTGACGGGATCTTAATCACTAACATCTATCGGCGTCTTGGACAATGGGCAGAGTTTTTCCAGGGGAAGTTCGACTGGTCTGCTGCCCCGGCAATATCGATCGGGCTGTCATGCCCTCCATGGCCTGTGACGATTGATCTACCGAATGAGACGGAGGTCCGCGAGCAACTCCAAATCTTGAAGCGCTACAAATTACCGGGTCCAGATGACTTACCTCTGACCCTTTTTAAAGATGGTGGCGGCTTTCTGGTTAAGGAAATGACTGCGTTGTTTACAAAGGTTTGGGAGTTAGACAGTATTCGAACATCATGGAACGAATCGATAATTGTCCCTATCTGTAGAAAAGGTTCACGTAGTTTATGTAACAGCTATTGCGGTATAAGTCTACTTCCGATCGCATCCAAACTATTTGCTTCCGTAATACTTCGTTGATTGTTCCGAGATCCGAGAGCTTGACTCGCGAGGAGCAGACTGGTTTTAGTTCTGGTGGACGATGTATTTCTACAAGATTGACAGGACCCTGATCCTGCACTCACCCTGGGTAGTGATAAAATAGAAGTAGTCGAGAAGTTCGTGTATCTGTGTAGCTTCATACGTGCTGGTGATGGCATGAGTGATGAGGTCAATCCAGGTATAATGAAAGCCAGAGCGGCTTATGCTAGTCTGGGCCATCTTTGGCGCCTTCGTGATGTCAGACTGGCAGTAAAAGGTCGGATCTACAACGCGTTGGTGTGAGCAGCTCTGCTCTATGCTTGTGAAACCTGGCCTCTCCGAGTTGTGGACGTTAGACGACTCTCTGTGTTCGATCGTCGTTGTCTCCGAAGGATTGCTGACATCCAGTGGCAACACCATGTTAGTAATGCAGAGGTTCGGCATCGTGTGTTCGGGCACAGAGATGATAATGCAATTGGTGTCACCATCTTGAAACACTGACTTTGGTGGCTTGGACATGATCTACGAACATCGTCCCAGAGAATTCCACGTCGTGCATTATTTGCCAACTCTGGGACTGGTTGGAAAAAGCGGAGAGGTGATCAGTGTATGATATGGTATTGTGATTTGAAAGAAAGCAGTACAGGACTGGCTTTTGTTGGTCCTTCACGACTCCCTAGCTGGGGTCCTAGAGATAGTGCGATACAGTGGCTGGAGACGTCAGATATGGCTCAGAATAAAAGCCAGTAGCGATCCTGCTGTAACCTTCTTTTACTTTCTTCATAAAAAGTGGTTGTATCTTCCTTAACTGAAAGATTTCTTCTGGTTGTACCTTTGCTTCCTGGACTTCTTCTCCTATTATTATTATTATTACTATTACTATTATTATTACTATTATTATTATTATTTCAGTACTGCACACCAATTTCTGTCCATTGTTGTTCCCCTTCTCATACGCACCTTACTTTATTTTTCTCTTCACATTCTCGTTGTTACTGTGATGTGCATATGTATCTGGTGCCACTTTGTACCAATAATTGTGTTCATACAACTAAATAAATGCATTGTTTCATGCTATGCAAATTTTCAAACCAATTTATTGTTTCTACTGTACACCAGCCAGAGACTTAACAGTTCGTAATATCTTACATTATTAGTTGTTACTTTTGTGACCCATGAGGTCTAGTTTAAGAGGACTACAAGTAGTTAGCCATTGAATGTTCTGGAGTGTTTTTCATCTGCGGATTGATACTCTTATACTATTTTAGTAACAAATATATATATATATATATATATATATATATATATATATATATATATATATATATATATATATACGGTTATTTTTGTGTATGCGATTATTCGCACTTGTAATTCGTTATTGTAATCAAGCTTGAACATATTTGTTTTGTTTTAATCTGGATAACCGATTCATTGATGTTGATAACGAAAATATCACAAATTGAAACTCCGTGGTTGAATGATCGATCACAAATGAGTTATACCTAGTTATTTTATTTCAGTTCCAATTTTTGTATTTTATTACTTCAGGCTTTTCATCCCAAATTATCAGTACAATCACAACCGGATCCAGTTGATGTCACTAAGTTGTTTGCTGAATTAGCAAATGCTCATAAGAATTTACGCCATATCAGTGTATCTGATATACTCTGATAATGAGGATTCTAGTAAATATACCTTAAAAATGTATAAAAGTCAGTTGGTCCAAGTGTGATAGTTACAGTAAGTAGTGTTAGTTGTTAATATTAAACGATATTGTTTTACTGATTTCATGCTATCTTAATTCTTATGGCTTTTGTATTTAAAGACATCGGAAAACGTTTTACGTATCGAAATTTTAGGAAGACTAGTAGAGGTTTGTAGCTCATTATTTTGATTATCAAGAGAAATACACAGACAAAGACAAAAGTTAGCAACAACCACTCAGAACCAATGTAAACATATTAAGCTGTTAATCATATGAGGAAAAATTCAAATCGCTGACCTCAGTCTGAAGTTTGTGCTGAAAAGAAAGTGAAAGCTTCACTACTAAACCACTCAACTCTGATAACTCAGTAGTATAAAAGTCATCTAGAGTCCTTAGCTCTTTGTTCTGCTAATTTCCTCTCACTATAATGTTATGCTTTGTGGCAAAATGAGCTGATGTACTTTTATCCAGCGTCCTACATTATAAATGAATGACTTGCTACGGATGTAATGCGTGGAACCGTATATTCTTTAGTATAGTGCTTTGTGGTAATGTACGTACAGTAGCAGTAAGTTCTTACATGTGTTAGTAAACTTACATAGCATTTAATCACTTATATATCTCATCACTTGCTGTGGTTATATTCATGTATATTTGACGTTATTTTCACAGGTCACACATCATTTGACTTCGCAACCTACAAACTGTGCCTTATTTCAGGGGGAAAAAGTTTCGTCTTATGACTGATCTTCTGTTGTGTTTTCATATTTACTCGAAAATAACCATACATTTCACTTCATTATATCATGCATTTACACTATTGCTTGTTTATCCTTTTAATTATATACGGATACTTTTTGTTCTGCTTTTTTTGCTTTCTTTCAATTTATCATTAAAATAGAAGAAAAAGGAAAGCAAGAGTTTTAAATTATTCCACTTTTATTGATTTCAAGTAATGTATAATTAGTTTGTTTTTGTGTTTCGAAAACATTCACAAAATTATTAACAACTAATATATATCTTGTGTGGTGGATGTGCATGCATTCTGCATGTTTTCTCATTTCGTCTTACAGATGAATTTCTAAATACCTGTCTACGCATCACTCTTTGTGCTAGTAGATATAGATAGACACACAAAAAATGGGTTGTACACGTCAGTATGTCAAGAAAAATAGGAATGGTTAAATACAACAATGTGGTTTTCTATGCGATGTTTCACGTAATTTAATGAATGATTCTTCATCACGAATTGATTTTATTTGTTGAGAGTAACTGAAAATCAAGGAACATCAGAAAACTGTTCTGTCATAGCTTGGAACTTCTAACCAGTAAACATTCATGATTATCCGCATATGTTTCGATTCGACACCGTATTTGTTAGCGAGAACAATACGCTACCGAATTCGAAAGTCAAATAAATAAATCATAAGAAAACAAATTATTCAATTTAATTCAACTTGATGATTGTTCTCTATGTGTATAACTTTTAGCACAGGTTCGAAATGCTCGTTTAGCTTTTGCCAACTTAAGTGACCTATGACGAAGGTGAAATATCCGTCTGTCAATTAAGGGACTAGTATACTGCGCATCAGTTCGTTCTATTTTGCTTTACCGCTGTGAAACATGACCATTAAGAGTAGATATTCGTAAACTACTAGAATTTGACCACAGATGCCTTAGAAATATTGTTCGCATCTGCTGGGATCACCGGGTAAGTAATAGTGAGGTTAGACGCAGGTTTTTAGGGAATGAAGATGGTAAATCAGTTAATGAGGTTGTGAATCTTCATCGACTGAGACGATTGGGCCACTTGTTACGTATGCCTGAACACCGTTTATCACGACACGCAATGCTGAATAGTGTTGGGTATGGTTAAAAGAAAGATTAAAATCGCCTTATATCTTTCTTTCTTCTTGTACTATGTCCTTATATGCAATGTTTCTTTTATACATTATTACCAGCGAAGTAACTACTGCTATGAATCCAGTGTTCATCTTGTTGTGCTAATGAGGTATGGCAACTTGGACCGATGCATATATGTGCCTGACTGACCGAGAACTTTTAACATAGTATAGAAATGAGTGGCTACAGTCATCAAGTTGTTATATATATATATATATATATATATATATATATATATATATATATATTTAAACGTTTGCTACGCTAACAACAACATGTTCACTTTTAATTACTGATTGTTTTAAGTTTGATATCCTATATTATTATGAATTTGTTAAATATATTGTTATTATTTAATAAATACTATTTTCATATCAGAGTGGTTTTGTGGATATTATAGTATTTTCAATGGTTGAGATCATGAGTCAATTGAAGCTAGAACCCCCCCCCACGGCCGTCCAGTGCTTCCAGGTTTTCCATGGTGGTCAATCGACTCATGATCTCAACCATTGAAAATACTATTTTGTTTAATATTAATAATTTTTGAAGATTTTCTTATCGTTAAATTTTCAAGATTCCAAGTGAATCTTGTAAGTTTATAAACTATTTATTATTGAATTAAAAGTATCATCTAAATGAAAGAATTTTAGATAATAAAGGTTAGATAATTTTATTTATTTGAACACTCAACTTTTCTGAAAAGTAACAGAAATTAACTAACTAAAAATATAATCTCATTTTAATTGAAATCATGAACTGATCATTGTTTAAAAAATTTGAAAGCATTGGACGGTAGTCTGACATTGATCAATTCATTATTTCAATCAAACTCAACAATCTTCACAACCCTATACTGATAATCTGATTTTTTTAGAGCGTGTTTTCAGTATTACCAAATGGTTAGAAGAAATTTTGTTTTAAATCAACTAGTATTATTTCAAAATGCTCAATAATTCTATAGTTATTTAACTGCAATTATTCATCAATTATCACACTATATACAAGACATTCGTTTTAAACTTCATTTATATTAGATATAACCGTAGTGTTTTTTTTAAGTTCCAAAATCAAGCATTATAATAAGCAGATTATCTGAAAAGAAATATTTCTTCACCTTCTCAATAATAATTGTCTGAATGGGTATTTTTATTCTCTTAATGTTACCTAAACGACAAAGTTATATTTCTGACTTCATGATCGAGAAATCTATTAGTATTCGCCAACACTATACAATACTACTTAAAAGATAAACTTTGAAGTGGATTCTTCCTCTCAACCATTCGTATTCTGTTAATCAGAATATTGAACTAGAAGTTACACTCTATATTTAATAAATAAAACTTCCAGTTTTCGTTTAATTCTGTAATTTCAAGGCGATTTTCATCTTTGTACAATGTTTGAAGTATCAACAACTTCTACTATAGAGAGCGATTGCATCACAAATGCACTTCATCTCTCTCTTGCTTTAGATCTTGAGTGTTAAAATCACCTTGTACTTTCTATCCTGCTAATCTGTTATTTTTGGGTCATAGTCTTTTTTGTTCTGGCATTTATCTTGATAATTTCATCTCACTGTACTAATGTGGTGTAACGAATTGAACCAATCCATGTTTGCACCAGGTTCTACGTTGTTTATATCTAAACAACTGCATTAAAGATCAGAAAAATATGACATGGTCAGTGCTCAGTAATTGATAGATGTAAATCTCATACTTGTTCTGAAATTTTATTTACATTGCCATTGGTAACATAAAGAGTTGCTGGTTCATGTAATGAACCTGTATTTCTTAATCTACCTCAAAACAGCGAATACTTGACAGTCGTTTAGGTTAATCCGGTAAATGGATTACTTGTCGTTCCATTTTCTCGAAAAAAAAGTAAACCGTTGTAAGCCTAGTGAAATAGTATAAGTATAATACACTACATACGCATGAATAATCGCTAAACAGTGATTCATGCCAACCAAAGGATGAGTTCAGCAGCTCATTCCGTTATGCTTTATGACTGCAAAACGTAGGTTACCGGTAGTTGACCATAAACACCTTCGAACCGTTGCTCGTGTATGTCCGGGCCAACGAGTAGGTAGTGCTGAAGTCAGTTTAAGGTATAAGGTAAGGATGGCAAATCAGTTGATAGGGTATTGAATCTTTGCTAAGTTAGGTGGTTGGAGCATGTATTACACCCTCCTACATCAATGGACGATGATTACTTATGTAAGAGTAGGTTGAAATATAGCTAGAACTGGCCGAATCAAACATCGCTTTAGTTCGTGTAGTCATTGACTGTTGGACTGAACCTTGTGAGTAGCTGCAGATTACCTGGTTTAGAGTCCGCGCATTTATAGTAATCAATGGTTGGCAACGTTGGGTGATATGAAACAGAATCGTTTGCAATGGAATAAATGCATTCAGTCTGTTTATCCTCAGATCCTAAGTTTCTTAATTGTCTTAAGAAAGTTTTCTATTCTACGAACACATACCCTATCAAATCATATCTTCCATGCATAATATTACTTACTATCACATCTCCCTGTGCTAGTAAAATGTAACACACGAAACCGATGTGCATGTATCCCAAGTTCTCTGTTGTATGTAACTAATTTGTTCAAAATGTTGTGCAACCATTTTGACTTTTACTTGCAACCTAACAAGGAAATATTCATGTTCTTCAAATGTTCAATATACACAAAACGACATTATTAATAATCAACTTTTTTTGAAATATAAAGGATTTAAATATTCGAGTAAACCTTTTTTTTAGCAAATAAACAAATAATGTAAAGTTTAAAAAAATGATTGTCCAGATTGTAATAAGAAAAAACGTAAGAAATCTCTATTAGATTCTAAGAAAATGGAATGAAATTTTATCATGAACTGAGATCTCAGATCGACGATTACAGAGATTCATTTGTAAATATACACTAAAATTAGTTAATCATAATAACGACATATACATAAGTGAGAATTATAGTTGTCACTGTTATGTTTTTCTTATTCGAGATTTAGACAATTGGTCGAATTCATCAAGAATTGCTTGTTCTAATTCATTGTGATCACATTTAGCTGGTTTTGTGTTAGTTGATAAAGATTTGGACTTGATTCGAGTAAATGAAAGTAAAAAAAAGCAATAACTAATCATTTATGGCTTGTTTTTTAATGCACAAGTAATATAATTCATTCCCATATTAAAACTCTTTCACGGTTAAATCCTGTTAATAACTTTATGGTTTAGGATTATGTCTGAGATGATAAAAAACTGTTGAGTCGGCCTTCCGAGAACTGCAACGGAGCCGCGAGAGGCCCTAAAGGAACCGAAGGGTCCTAGCCAATCAGAGCACGATGGAGCTTTCTAGAATACCAACGTGGCGTGCTACTATTGGTCAGTAGCATAATTTCTTTTAGCGGATTGGTCAAAATATGGTGTTGATTTAACAAATGTTAGCATCTATAAATACCCGTGTTTTTCTGTACAAAGTGTTTCTCGCTTATTTCGCGCCATTTCTCTCGAGTTCTGGTCGCTGAGTAGTTCTAGCCTGCGGGTTACCAGAATAGCTTAGGAACCGGATAAAGCGTTTAAATTAACAAGACTTATAACAAACAAAATAAGAAATAATTATAACGCGAACAAGCAATGGATAAAGACTACTGTCCCCTACAATACGTCATATTGAGTCATAGATAAAAACGTTTTTTGACTTATACCTTTGTAAAAGTAACTACATCTTTTAGCATATACTTTCAGTTAACATGTAGTTGTATGAACGAAGAAAAAAGGAAATAGGCCAACCTCTACAGTAGTGTAGGATTACCGGTTTTCAGTCCATAAATAATTGTTATTTATAGTTGGAGGCCTTAGAGAATGGATCTCAAAATTTGTTCCAGTCAATCGAAAGTACTTATTCTTGTTTCCTTTGAAATCTTAAGCGTGGCATGATCCTATATAGTTCATTTCCAAGTAACAAGCATTTAACTTGTATGATATATGATTACGATTATTGGTAATACAAATTTCTCATATTTTTTCTTAGCTTCTAGTTACTTGATTTCTACTGTGATGATTAAAAGTATAACAAATTGAATTCACACGAAATTGTGCTGGATTTCACGTGTTCATCTCATAAACTTATTTCTTATCACTATAAATATATTTAGCATACCAGTCGTTTACAAACCGAAGGGAGGCTTTTGACTATATGACATTAAATTACAATCAAGGATTAGTATAAATATACTCATTAAATCATACATAAACTCTTGCAAATTAAATAGGGATTTTCTGATGAATTATGGTAAAATATAGATT